AATTTCACTACACCATGAACATTTGGGCTCCTTTTGTTCTGATACTGAACAAAGAAAAAGTTGACGGAAAAGTCCCAGGTGGCATATTTGAAAAGGCTTCATTTGTAGCCAACCTCTTCAGGCTTTGACTGATACTGAAACTAAAAACTTAAAGCACTTTCTCTCTCTTGCTCTCTCACTATCTCTCTCTCAAGTATATATAAAGTTCACAGTTAGTTGCATATTGTGATATAGTCTCTAGGTCCAGGATTTTATTTCTACCATATTGGATAAAGTAACTATCATGTCAACTTAACTATTCATTTTCAAACAACTGTAATTAGAGCTCACATTCACACGGAAGCTAATTCCAGCCTAGTATCTACTAAGCCAAAAATCCAATCTTCTGCTGTCAGCTAACAATATTTTAGCCAACTATTTTTAATCCAACATTCTTTCTTAGATTTAAATAACTTTCAAACCAAAAGGGATATTTCAAGCCCACTTTACCAAAAACACTCCCTTGAAAACTACAGAGTCAAATAGGTTAAATGGGTTGCCAAGTCACAAGGCTAATTAGTGATGGCCACAGATCTATCACCCATGTGTCCTGCATCCTGAGGAATTACTGTGAGCCTCATGAACTGCCACTTGCCCAGAGGAAATTCTTTCTCCCCCACCCCTACCCCTTTCTCTCCACATGTAAATATACACACAGACTTTTCTGGTATCCATTACAAAATCAAATTATACCAGCTGAAGAATGCACAATGATCAAAATTAATTTCTTTTTTTCTTCTCCAAAAAGCCACATAGAGACTATAATAGAATGTGATCACTTTGGAAAATATTTTGGTCAAAGGAATTGTGAAAATCCACTTCCCAGGTCTTAATATGCTAAAGGCAGTCCAGGGTTAAAATGTGCTTAACAGATAATTAAGATGATGAGTATAGAATCATTGTCTTAGAAAAGCTGTCTTTTAGAGATGAGATCACATTTAAATTATCTTCTGCAGAAAGGAAGTTAGTTTATCCTTATGGATAATCAGGAAGAGAAGCTTACAATCTTTCCTGGTGACCCGTCTCTATCATGCTGTAGTGAAGAGAACTCTGAGCCAGAAGTCAGAGGACTGTTTCAGTCAAAGCAGTGTTGTGTGCCTCACCCAAATTGTGACCCAGAACAAATAACTTCTCCAGAGCTCATTTGTAAATGAGAATAGATCCTTCCAAAGCTGCCTGACTGATTCCCTAACTTGGATGGCCGTTACTCCTTGAGTTTCTTTTTCTATGATGTTTTTATCACTTTTACACGGAATGGATAATTTCAGAAAATAAATTAATTAGGGCTATAGGTAATGATAGTAAAGTAACGAATAGGTCTTCTATTGTTTTTTAACTATGCCAGCAATAATCTTCAAGATAAGCATTCTCCTTTTAAAGGACTGTCTTAAGAGGTTAGATGGCCTCATACCAACTTATATGGCACATTGAGAAGTTCACTCCATTACCTTAGAACCGCCTTTCATTGCTCCTAACAGTCATGGATTGACCTTGATCATTCAGTTTACAAACCAGACTGGCCACAGGTAACTTAAAATTGATCCCCCAAATCAGAGTGCCACTGAAGGGTGAAGAGGTATCATCACACAGTGGTGTGGCTTGGAGATGAGGTATCCCCCAAAAGCTCCAATGTTATTGTTCATAGGTGAAATGATTGGATTATGAGAACTCTGACCTGGTCAGTGGATTAATCCATTGATGAATTAATAATTTGAAAGGATCACCTTAATGGATGATGACTGTAGACAAGTGGGGCATGGCTGGAGGAAATAGGTCTCTGGGGATGTGCCTCGGGGTTACATCATACTCCTCTGGCTCCTCCCCCTCTCTCTTTTTCTTCTTAGTTGCCAGGAGCTGAACAGTTTTCCACCACCACTGTCCTTCTACCTCACCTTCAGCCCAGAGCAACAGAGTTGGCCAACCCCGTGGACTGAACCTCTGAAACTGGGAGCCCCAAAAAGCTTTTTCTTGTTGTTGTTGTTGGTGGTGGTGGTGGTTATTTTAGTCACAACATCAAAAGGCTGACTAACACAACTGGGGAATACATCAGGTAGTATCCTCAGCCTTCAATATAGTTATAAAAGGACAAAAATATTTTATATCATAAGAGTATAAGAGAGAGGGAAAAATCCATTTTTCCTTCACCCATCTTAAGTCCTTTGGCTGAAGCCCTGTGAATTAGACTGACAAAAGACAGATGGGTGAGAGAAAAAAGAGAAAAGCAAAGAAGTTCATTAACATGTGCATCACAGGTACTTGCAGGATCCCTCCGTGATGAGTAACTAAAAGGGGCAGTTAGAAATTGGATTGGCATATTAAGAAAGAATGGTCAATTTTTAGAGATGTGACAGGACAAAGGAAAAAGGCCTCCTACTTACAGGGTACAATTTATTGGGAAACAACCACATTGGGAATCTCATGGAAGATAAGGACTAGTCAGTAAGGTTTGTCAAACTGATTCTCTGGTGCCCTTTCTGAGCTGAAAATTATCTAGAATTCTGCCCAATGATTAACTTCTGTTCTTCCTGGAAGACAGAGGGTCAGGGACATATTTATAAGTTTACATGCTGCTTTTAGACAAATAAGAGGAGTTCAGAAAGCTTTTTTTATATCTGTTGCCACTCAATTGCTTTCAGCTTAAAATAGCCAATATGCCCAAGTGACATATTTTGGGTTGGTACACTTACTGCCTTCACTAGCAACCACTGAAAAGGGATACAGTCTCCCAAGGAAAGGGTGTTGAGATATAGTATATCAGACATTCAACCTCCTTGCTTGAATGTCTGATATACTATATTTTAAAACTCCATAGCATGAAATACAATAGAGGACCCAGGAATTAATCTTCATATGGCCATAAATGATCAATAATTAAATAATTATTCTCAAAAAAATATAGTATTAACAAATTTATTTTAAAACCCTCATGCATTGTGAGTAGGAATGTAAAACCAAGAAAAATGCAATTTTTAAATGCAATTACCATATGATCCCAAAATTTCATTTGTGGATACATACATAAAAGAATTGAAAGCAGGGACTCAAACAGATATGTGTATACCAATTGTTTATAACAGGTTTAATGTAATTCATTGTAACCAAAAGTGGAAACAACACAAATATTCACTGACAAATGGATAAACAAAATGTGGTTTATACATAAAGTAGAACATTACTCAGCCTTAAAAAAAAGAATAAAACGTTGATACATGCTACAACATGGATGAAACTTGAAGACATAATGTAAAGTGATACAAGTCATATGCAAAAAGGCAAATGTTGTTTGATTTTTCTTACACAGTTACCTAGATTAGGCAAATTATTACAGATAGAAAGCACAATAGGGGTTACCAGGGATTTGAGGGAGGGATGGAGGAGTTAATATTTAATCAATACAGAGTTTCCATCTGAGATATTTCCAATCAAGAGAGAACTTGTTATTGAGCTACAAAAGACAAAGAGTGCAGGTGAGTGACTGATAGTCCACCTTCAGAACAGACCTCAACCTTCCAATTGAGACTGCAATCTTCCCAGACAACTTCTAGTAAATTACAGAGCAAGCAAAGCTATAGGACCTGGCAATTTCTGCCCAACACGGAATCAGATAACCTTAGCTCCAGAGTTTTCTTTTGTCTGTCTGTGATTTTGTCAGTTCTACAACATGGTCTGTAGACTTTCCCTGCCCAATCTTGCCTCTCCATCTTATCTATCCATCAGGTATTAACTCTTGTCCTCTGAACTCTATTTCCATGACTGATTTGCCAGCAATCTAAATGGCAGAGTTGTTACCATGAGTGAATCCATAAACAGTCAATAATTCATGGCATCAGGTGGATGGCCAATTATTATAAGTTTAACTGGTGTGACTTGAGAGAATGTTCTGGTGGGTGGAAAACACTGGTTGGTGAACTCATTCTGACATTTCAAGAATAAGGGCAGAAAACTATAGAGACAGTAAAAAGATAGCAATGGTTTCCAGGAGTTAGGGAGGAGATAAAGCACATATGTGAACAGTGGAAATGGATGCTTATTCCTAAACTAACTCATTGCCATGCAGAGAAATAATGGAAAGCTGCAGAAAGTCATATAATTGAAAAACTAAATGTAAAGCAGAGAGTGATTCCACTTAAAAAGAAGCATTTTAAGTTGAGTTGCTGCAATAATTTTGAAAGTTTAGAATGCTGAATGTTTAGCTGTGGCAGTTTTTTGTTGTTGTTGTTGTTGTTGTTGTTGTTTGTTTGTTTTATTTTGCTTTGTTTTGTTTTGTTTTGTTTTTGAGACAGAGTCTTGCTTAATTGCTGGGACTGTCCACAACTTTACAATCCTCCTGCATCAGCCTCCAGAGCCACTGGATTACAGGCATGCATCCTCGTGCCTGGCTGTGCCAGATCTTTTTGATGAAGACAGGGTACTTCTTCCTGTGGATTTAAAGGAGGTTGGGAAGCCAAAATTGTGGGGGTTATCCACTCAGCCAGGTCTCTGGTCTTGACAAAACAGACCTGCCCCTTGTGAATTTGTTATTGTTGGGGTGTCCACTTAGGGTCCAGGACCTTGATGTCCTGAACAAAGAATTAAGCAAGTCACACACAAGTAACAGGCAAAGTACAGAATTATTGAAAATGGAGGTGGGAATACCACTCCATAAAATAGAGCAGAGTAAATCAAGCAAGAAAGAGAGGATCAAGGCCCCAATGTCTGGAAATTAGTCTTATATGCTGATCTTTGAGGTGGTCCTTTTCCTATAACAACCAGATTGAAGATCCTACCCCATTTGCTCCCATTGGTTATCTTATGATAGCTGATTAGAATATTATCCAATTTCCTCCATTGGTTATTTTAGAAAACCCAATTAGAATACTGTCCACTTAACTCATCATTGGTCATTTTAAAATACTAGAACTGTGGAGGGAGTTGTCATGGTGATAAATCCTCAATGGTAGGAGTTGTCATGGTAATGAGACTTACCTTAAACAGGGGCATGACTCACCATCCTGTCTTGTCCTCCGGTGGCATCTTTCTTAAGCCCTGCCTCCTCCATCTTGGTCTCCCTGAACTCCTACCTAACAGATGCAGAAGGTATTTATTTAGTGAGTTATGAGCAATTATATTGAAATTGATTCCTTAATATATGCACCTTAGTTCAGAAATTTTTAAAAATAAATTCCCGGACGTGTATGTAAGTGATGTTGAAAGCAAGTTTATCTAAAAGTATATTTGTTATAGCACTGTCTGCAATAGAAAAAAAGAGAGAGAAATGATCAAAATGTACAATACTAGGAAACTGATCAAGTCAACTATAAGCTCCATTCAAAAAGTTCCAAGACTATTGTGAAAATTTATGTTTTAGGGAGGCCACAAGTCCTACCAGTCAGGGCATTCCGGTGCCTGCAGCCTGGGGTTGCCTGAGATGACAGTAAGCTCTGAACCTGAGCAAGGGGCAGCAGCAGAGGCAGAGAGCCACCACTTTGGTAAAGGAGCTCTAGGCCTCATGGAGGAGCAGAAGCTGAAGGTCACCTGAACCACAAGGCGGGGGAACCAGAAAACCACTGGAATCCGAAAGCCAGTTGAACCACAAGGGCCAGCAGCCTCCTGAAGCCTGGGCAAGAGCTGGCACACCTGGAGGCTGTGGTTCTGCAGCTGAGTCAGCCATCAAGGATCCAGTTCATACCATAGCAGCTGTAGAAACTGGAAATTGCTTCTCAAGAAACTCCGAAGATGTGCTCCGAGGATGCTGCCCCTTGGAAAGTTCAGAATTTCCGAATTTGAAACTGCTTAAACTAGGAGTCCTTTCTGTCGTTGCATGTCTGGTTCCAGAAGCTGCCTAATTGGCAGAGATATTGTAACCCCACATTTTCCAGTAATTTGAGTTCAAACCTCAGTAGTGAGGTACTTTTCTTTTCAAAGGCGAGTCAAAATCAGAAACCTTTTATTTCTCATTGTCACATGAGGCTGAATGTTGTGAAAAAATCATAGCAATAACCCATTTGATTGTAAGAATTTTGTCTGCTTCCCTTCTTGACAATTGTTGAAACCCTGAATTCAGAATTGTAGTTCGGATGCCCTGCGTAGAAAATGCAATCGGAAGTTCCATGTCGGGTCTTCAGGGAAAGGCATTTTCACTGCTACTCCCTTGGTCACGGCAGGACCCCATCACAACCCCCAACCCACTCCCTGGATGAGGCACTAGCAGTCTCTGGCCCAGTTACAACCACATGGTTGCTGGCTCAACTATGGGCCTTCCTTTCTGCAGAAAGACCCCTGGTGAGTGCAGGCTTGGAGCATAGCACCTGCTGCGCTGGGCTGTCTGCAAGCACAGCCCTCAGAATCGGCCCCTCAGAATCCTCCGTGGCGGCCTGCCATGGAATGATGGAAAGGAGAGACTAAAAGTCCAATTCGTTACCCCACACCATATACCCTCGGAAGAATCACCTGGGAATAGGATGGAGAAGATCTCTGAGTGAATGGATTGCTGGTTTTCATGCCTTTTGAATCCTGCATCCCAGATTTCCTAATTTTCTCTATAGTACTCACCTTTAATTAAGCTTGTGCACTATTTTATTGACTTCTCTTATACAATACAAGCCCCCACATACATGGAACTTTTCTATCTAGTTCCTAGAGCTTTGCTGGCATTAGTATTAAATGAATTAATATATTCCTACCATATCGCCTAGTCTTGGGGATAGAAAGAACAATGGAAACACTTGGTTTCAAGGAACTCAAGGCTGACTGAAACTTTGGTGAGCTGGAAAGTAAGGAATCAAATATGAGTGTTACAGATAGTCAATGCTGCAAGAAAACGAGAAATGACTGTGGCTTTCTAATCCTGGAAATCGTTTTAAGAAGAAATTGTACTCCAAGGATAGGTTAATTTTGCAAGGGAGGGGAAGAAATCTTGGTGGGAAGATATTTTTGCAAAGAACCAGGGGAATGTTGGAACTATAAGAATATGAGCCTGACCCACAACACCATCAGGGTTTGGAAAATAGCAAGAAACAAGGCTAACCTGAAGAAAATGGATAACAAGAGGAAAAAGTGGAGATTGAATTGTTGACATTTGCCATTTCAGAGAACCTGGCTAATATATTTGCCGTGTACCTGGAGCATTGATTTGGCAGCTGAATTAGGTTGTTTTCCAGATTGGTGCATGCTATCCCTCTTTGGCATTGGTGCTATTCCATTGCATGAAGCAGGCACGTCACTATTAATGGCACGTGGAATCCTGACTACAATAAAAAGGTGGTTTCATCCTGGAAAGAAACAGATTCTGCTGAATAAAAAGGTGCCATCACTTTTGCATGCCACAAAAGGCAACAAGATCATTTTGTGTCCTCACTGAAAGCCAGCTAAGGGGTGTTGGTTCTCACTTGAACAGCCTGCCTTACAAAGTGCAGTTTACTTCTCAATGTGAAGAGTGGCCCCCGGGCAAAGTGCCTGCTTTATAAAGTGATTTCACAATATTTGGGGAGGTTGAAGGTAAATGAATTAAAGGCTAAGAATGAAAATAAAAAATCCATTCAGAACCTTTTATTGTCCAAAAGATTTGTCATTGATTCTACTAAGATTATTTTAGAGCCAAAACTGTTCTATAGAAATCAAATATTAATTTAAATAAACCAAGACAATCCCTTAAGGAGTCTTCGTTAAAAAGAAAAAAAAAAACTATGTTTTAGAAGCATAGTGATGTCGTTATCTACAGTTCAATAGAAATGTTAGATTATAAATTGGATTATCCCATTTTTATTTGAAAAATATATATACATACTTATTCATGAAAGACATGAAGTTTAGGCCAAAAATATTAATAATTTTCATATTTTAACAGTGCAATAATGAATAAATTTTTCCTACTATAAATTATATTATTAAACAATTAAAATGCCTTTGGGTTTTAAAAAGAAGAAACTTCAAATTGCAAAAACAATTGGTTATGGCACTTTGGAGAATTGCCATCAATTCTCTCTATTCCCACCGAGATATTTAAATGTAGTATTATGTATTAGCAAGGTGAGATTTAAATATAAAAAATGTAAGACAACAGATTACCAAATTTGAAAATATATATTGGGAATCCAGGGTGCTATTTAGAATGAAGAACCAGGCTCCTCTACCTAACAATTATCTTATTCCTATATATGGTGGTAACTCTCAATGTTTTTCACGGTATTACAACTATGTAGAAAGGAAAAGAATGTTCCCAGTAGCTAATCAAAAATTTCTAATTGTACTTTCATTTAAAAAATGACACCTAGTAGATCCTTCCCAAGTTAAATGCTAAAATACCTACATGGAAAAGAAGAACTGCTTAAAACAAAATGCTAAGATAAATTATTGCCAGAGTTAGGAAGTAAATTCAATGAACATTAATTCCAAAGGAATTTGAGAGAAATTTAAGCAGGCTTCAGCTCAGAAAACACAGCCCCTACTTGATTTTAAAAAAAAAAAACCTTTGTGTCTTCCAAATTGTCTAATCTCCCTGACGTAAAGACAAAGGGGATTAAATAAAAAACTGGGCAACCGTCCATCTTCTTAATAGGCATTGGTTTAATTATTTAAATTTTTATTATGAAAATTTTCACATTCTTCTGGGGGTGATGGAAAAGTTCTATCTAGTAGTGATTGTTGTACAACAATATGAATATACTTAATGCCACTGAACTGCATATATAAGTTTTATGTTGTGTGCAAATTTCCACAATAAAAAAAATAATTTCACACAAAAAGAAATTAAAGTAGGGGCTGGGGTTGTGGCTCAGTGGTAGAGAGCTCGCCTAGCATGTGTGAGGCACTGGGTTTGATTCTCAGCACCACATAAATAAATAAAATAAACATCCATTGACAACTAAACAAAATGTTTTTTAAAAAAATTTAAAAAGAAAAGAAATTAAAGTAGTAAAATAAACACTGAAATAGTTTGAAGTTTGAATAACCCCAAAGGCCTATACTGAAGGCTTGGTCTTCAACCTGTGGTGCTGTTGGGAGGTGACGAAACCTGTAGGTGGTGGGGTCTAATGGAGGAAGTTAGGTCACTGGGGGCATGTCCTTCAAGGGTACATTGGGATTCTAGCCATCCTCTTTCTGGGTTCCTTGGATGCCACAAGGTAAACAGCCCTTCATGCCACATCCTCTTGCCATGATGTACCGTATTGCCACAAGCTCAAAGCAACAGAGCTAAGTAATCATGAACTGAAACATCTGAAGTCAAAATAAACCTTTCCTCTTTTTAAATTGATTTTCTCAGGAGTTTTGTCACAACAATGAAGAGCTAACACACCCATAGAACCTTTTTCAAAATTTATTATCTACAGCCAATCTTATTTCATTTATATCCTTATTCCCTCCATCCCACACTGAATAATTTTGAAACAAATTCCAAATAAAACACATTGTTTCATGCATAATTATATCAGTATGTTTCTCTAAAAAATGAGATTTTTTTTCTCAAAACATAACCATTATCATGCCTAAAACTAACAATAATAGTTCCTTAGCATCATCAAATGTTCATTCAGTGTTCAAATTTCCACAGTTGTCTCCAGATGTTTGTTAATTTGGTTTGTATTGGAAATGGATTTCAAACTGGAAAACATTTGATTATTATGCTTTTTGTGCCATGCTCAATCTCTGGATTCCCCTCCCTTTTTTTTATATTCTTCACAGTTTAACCATTGAACAAATGGATCATTTGTCCTGTAAAGCTCCTTACATTCTAAATTTTGCTAATCATATAATATTTTTCAACATATTCCAACATCCCCTAAGTTTCATGAAAACTAACAATTAGACCCCGAAGCCTGAGCAGATTCAAGTTGGATATCTCTAGTAAGAATACTTTAAAGTTGTGTTGTAAATTTTATCATGAAATATATAATATTTACTTGTCTAAATATTTAATATTTAGTTGTTAAGATTGGTCTGTGGGTTTATATGTTACCAGTCGTAGTCACCCCTTAAAAAGCTCTTTTCCTAATGGTCTTATTGCTTGGATTCATTATTTTCTTTAAGATGTAAAATGGCATATTTTAATTCTGTCATTCTTTCTTTGATTAGCTATGATTCAGACAGCAAGCCATTGT